ACTCTGTGAAACTTTTATCCGACCATCCATTACCCGCCTTTAAGTTGTACAACTTTAATACCGCAGACAATCTTGTGAAAGTAGTGCAACCTTTATACAACGGCTTCTCTGCATCGCTTACCAACCTCTCAAACATCTTTGGACAATCTTTAAGATCTTCTTCAAGTGCTTCTGCAATATCTTCGACTCGATCACAATCGTATGTATCCCTACCATTGTCCTTTGAAGTAGAGGTCGTATTGTTCTGGGGTTCAACATTCTCGTTACTTATCTCACCGTGTAATGTCCAACATGTGTAACTTCGATCAATTCCATGTCTCATTAAATGAGATTCCAACTGAACCGCGTCAATTCGACGCCCATAACAGCAACCTAAGCAAGGACATGTGATCCTACTGGGGTCTTTGGCGTGTTCAACAGCAAACTTAACGAAGTTCGATACCCCATTCTTGTACTCTTTTGACAATCGATTAACAGACATCCAATTTTTATCCATACTATGAAAGTTAGGCAAAAACAGAGAATACCTGTAAAGAAATCACTACTTCTAAGAAAGTTGTACAGTAGGATGCTTGGAAACAATCACAACCTTGCTCTTCTCAGGTAACCCCTATAACAGACAATATATACATTTTATTAAAATCATATTAATAATTAACCAAAACAAATCAAATTAAAAAAAAGTAGATATACTATAATAAACTATTCTACTATTAAAGCATACTTTCATTAATATGATTTTAAACTATTCTAAACTATTTTATAATGCTCAAAATGACATGGACTAAATTAAAGCATACTCTCATAAATGGTGGAAATGGACTAAATTATTCTAAACTATTCTAAACTATTTCATTAATATGATTTTAAACTATTCTAAACTATTAAATCATACTCTCAAAAATGGTGGAAATGGACTAAATTATTCTAAACTATTCTAAACTATTGCATTAATATGATTTTAAACTATTCTAAATTATTAAAGCATACTCTCAAAAGTTTTGGTAATGGACTAAATTATTCTAAACTAATTTATAATGCTCAAAATTCATTGTGGCATTTCAACAAACACCTTGCATACAAAACTCAAGCCAATATCAAAAGAGTAATGCTCATCAATGGTATCAACAAAAACAAGTCAATAACTCAGAAAGAAGTAGCACTAACATCATCTAATCCAGAAAAATGCAATACTAAGACAATAATCCATAAAAATGCCGTAACAGTCGCGGATTTACCGTAACGGTGGAGGAGAACGAACGGTGAACGGCGGCGAAAGGGAACGGCGAACGGCGGCGAAAACAAATGGAAGACGGCGGCGCAAACGGACGGCGATGAAAGCTTCAACGGAGGGCGAAAATGGAAGATAGGGCAATGGAGAAATGAAGAAACGAAGAAGAAAACGAAAAAACGCGTGTTCTGTTTCGTTTACAATTCTGGAGGGTATATAAAAATTATTATACTAATACCTTTAGCAACGCTTTTTAAAGGCCTTTAGCAGCGCTTTTAAAAGCGCTTTCATAGGGTGCATTAGCAATGACATATAGCAGCGCTTTATAAAAAAAAGCGCTCTCGTAGGGTCCCCTTTTAGCAGCGCTTTTTAAAAAAGCGCTGTCTTTGGTAGGTAATTTTTTTCTTTTTTTTTACTGACTATTTAGCAGCGCTTTTTTTAAAAGCGCTGTCTTTTGTGTGCTGCTAAAAATAAATTCTGGCGTAGTGAGAGAGAGAGAGAGAGAGAGAGAGAGAGAGAGAGAGAGAGAGAGAGAGAGAGTAGGTAAGGGTGAAACACAAGTACAATTGATTGAGATACAAGAAACTAACAGAAAAAAATAGAAAAACTGAAATTGTTTGCTTGTAACCGTGGTACAACTTTTCTTTAACCTATGTAAAAATATTCTAAAATAAATGCTCAACATAGTGGTACCCGGGTACGAAAACTTAGTACCCGGATAGAGATGTTCTAAAAGATATTTTTCAATGCATTGGTAACCCAGTTTCCAAAACGTAGTACCTAGGTACAACACTTGAATTATGTGATTTTCACGACATACCATCTTAATTCAAGTGCTATAAGTTTACCTTTCGCATGTTCTTATTGAATCTCTTAAACACTTTAATTATGACTCCTTTGGTCAGCAAATCGGCCACTTGGTATTCACTTCTACAATATCTTAATCTCAACCTTCCTTCAATGAGAAATTCTCCCAAATATGAAAGCTCGTCTCAATGTGTCTGCTTCTCCCGTGTGTAATAGAATTCTTAGCAAGGTTTATAGAGGAAACATTATCAACCATGAGCGTTACAACATCACCCTCTTCATTACCCAACTCCTTCAGTAGATTCATCGACCACATGGCTTGGCATGCATACAAATAAACGTTAATGTAATCCACCTCACAAGAAGAGAAAGCTACTAATAGTTCCTTCTTCAAACACCATGAGGTTGACATTTTACCAAACATAAATACATGTCCAGTTGTAGAATTTCGATCATCTTTATCTCTGCACCAATTAGAATCGGTAAAATTGAGAAAATTGCATCTACCCTTGTCCATTGCGAGAAAAGTAATTCCGCAGTCAATATATCCTTTGACGTATCTTAGAATCCATTTGACTGCTTCCAATGAGACACATTCATCCTCTCCATGAATCTACTCACAATACCCACATTAAACGCCAACTTCGGTCGCATATTTCACAAGTAACTCAAGGATCCAATCAACCTCCTATACTGAGTTTAATTAACATCTTACTCATCTTCATTCTTGAAAAACCATAGCTTCGGTTCAGCCGGAGTAATGGGAACATTACAATGCTCAATTTCAAACTTCTTCAAAATATCAAGCACATACCTTCTTTAGAGCATTAGCAGTCCATTGGACATTTGAAACTCAATCGGTTCCAGATCCTCCTTCATATCATAACTCTATTTTGGACCACTCAAGGCTTCCTCTGTTTTAACAAGTTTGGATTCATCCATAAGTTTAAAATGAACGAAATCACCATCATTATTGATCTTGTTATTTGGGAACATCTCACAATCTTGAAGTCTTGAAGACAGACCTTTTTGCCTTGCTAATATTCTCACATTCTCTTCAATTCGGGCTTCAACGAGAGCTACTTCTGCATTATCATGCACTGCAGGGACTATTTTCTCATTGTTGTAACCAGGTACAACTTTCTGATAACTAGTTACAGGCTGCTGCAACTGTTTAATTTTGTGAAAACGATGTCTCGATTAATCATGGTTCGTTTATTTGCAGCATCATACAACTTGTAATGATATGAAGATTGATACCTACAAGTATAGTCTAGTCTCCCTTATCATCCAACTTCATTCTAAGTTGTCCTTACACATGTCAATATGCTACCAAATCGAAAACTCTCAAGTGATTCAAATTTTGTTTAAATCCAGACTATGCTTCCTCCGATGTTATCTTCCCAAGCTTTATTGTTGGAAACATATTCAACAAAAATGCAATCTAGGACACCGTTTCTCCCTATGGTTCTTTCAAAAATTTCTTCCTTTTCAACAAATATGCAATCATGGATTTTTCTCATTTTTTTAACTTACCATTGTTTTTACTTTTTTTTTGAAAGCTTTAAGATGTTCTAGGTTTCTCCCAAAAATTTTGTTGGACATTTCTGGAAACAATATTCAGCCAAGGGTCGAGACCCCTTCCATGCCCCCAAGTTTGAACTTGTTTCAAAGTCGATGTAGTGGATACTCACCTATGCATCTATAACGACTATTTTCCAAGAGTGAGTGAGCAGTTCATTTAAGAGTCAATCACATAGAGGTTACACTTCACACCTCTTTAGATGTGGTAATAATTCAACCTATTGTGCACATTTTCGACGTGTTCGTCTAGATCTCTAGTATCCTCGTAACTTCCTTACTTCAAGGGCTTCTTAAAGGACCTTGGAATTCTTCTATCAAAAATGTGTACACGAGACAAGGTTCCTCTTCCTCTCAGAGGTCAGAGGATCTTTGTTACACCTTTCCTTTCCAGGAGTGGTGTACTGGAGGGCTACGAGGAAGAAAAACCTCGAGTAGAGTGTAGCTATCACTTCTCTATTTGAAGTCGGATGAGGGAATCTGATGTCTTTTGCTTTGATTATGACTTAGTGACCTACGAACTGCTCCATGTTATGAAGTTACGCCTATTAGATCCAATTGTGGTATGACTTTGTGGTCGTGCACAAAGACATCTTGCACATATTGATGGTTTTTGAAGGAATGCATTGCATGTTGTCGTCAGGCCCGACCCTAGGAGTAGGCGAGTGAGGCTACCGCCTAGGGCCTCAACTTTTTTATACTTGTTTAATATAATTTATTTTAATAATCTTTTATATTATTCGTTTTTATAACAGTTAAATAATAATATTTATTTAGAATATTTATTAATTTATTTAAAAATTATTTTTATCGATAACAAAATTTTATGACCTATTACACAAAAAGAAGTTTCATATTTACTTTTATTTTTAAAAACATTGACAATATTTTGTTAAATGACTTTTTTAAAAATATGATGAAAATAACATCTAAATGAATTGATTTTATTATCATGAAAACTAAATGTTAAGGGAAATCAATTCTAATAATTTAACTAAATAAATTTTCATCTTAAAAAATCACTACAATTTAAATAAAAATATATTGATTTTATTAAAATATTAATATTATATTAGAAAAATTTAATTTTACCTTAAACCTCTGAATAGGTTGGACCGACTCCGGTTATTGTAAAAACAAAAAGCTTATCTCACTACAAGAAAAACATATAGATCTATGGAACTTTGACACATTTTAAATGTATATATGACATAAACATAGTCTTTTGTAATATAAAAAAAAAAAACATCAAAAGAACTTATTAATATACGTTCATCATATAAGAAATAAAAATAAAGCAACGCATGAGAAAGAGAATGAAACTCCCTTCTACTTATTCTTCACTACAAAAATTAACAATTTTGTTATGACACTTTTTCAGAGAAGTAGTTGAGAGATACACACAAGAACTAAGACTCTTAGGGCTCAAAATTTTGGAACTTGTATGTGAAGGGTTAGGACTTGACCCAAAATATTGCTATGCTGAGTTTAGTGAAAGTCCACTATTGTTAGCTCATCACTATCCACCTTGTCCTGAGCCAAGTTTAACCTTGGGAACTCCCAAGCATCGAGATCCTAACCTTGTTACCATTCTTTTCCAAGACAAAGATATAAATGCTCTTCAAGTCTTCAAGGATGGTGAATGGATTCTTGTTGAGCCAATTCCTTATGCTTTTGTTGTTAACATTGGTCTTCTTATGCAGGTACAAATATATACACACATCATAGCATAGTTTTTACTTGTTGAGCCAATTTCTTTGATTATTTATCAGTTATGCTAACATTAATTTGCATTCACTAGATCATTAGTAATGGAAGGCTCATCGGAGCTGAGCATCGAGTTGTGACGAATTCTGATACTTCGAGGACAACTATCGCGTATTTTATTCGTCCATCGAACGAAAATATTATAGAACCTGCAAAGTCTTTGACATGTTCAGATTCTCCTCCAATATACAAGTCCATTACATTTGAAGAGTTTTTGAGAAATTTTATGAGTAAAGGTCCTGATATTGAACCTTACTTGCTCTTATAATTTTTCCACAAAGTAATTATTATTCATTTAGTTAATCTATTTGAAAGTGTGTTAGAAATTAGTTTTGATTATGTTATTGATTTAGTTATGTAAGTGCAATTGAGCTTCCTATATAACCTCAAAATTATTTGATTGTTGTCTCATGTAAGGTTGTCACACTTTATGGCATAGTGTTTGCTAGTATATGTTTGCTTATGATCGAGCATTGTAATTCTATGTGAAACCATGTGTTGTTCATTAATGAATAAGAAAAAAGTCATTTAGAACTCCAAATTTTAATCTCATAATATGGTATCAGTAAGAGTATTTGAGAGTTCATTAGATTGCTTCAATAGTTAGTGGGAACTTTTGAAAGTTTGTTACATGTATGTCTACTTCATCTTGAATCGCCATTGATTTTCTCCTTTTTTTTTCTTAGCAATTCCTTTGATTCAACCCATCATTGATCTTTTTTTTTTCTTCTACTCTTCATTCTTTATATATCATTGATTCTCTATCTTTATATATCATTGATTCTCTATCTGTTAGACTAATTATTTAATTAATTAAATATAGATTGATATAATTAATTATATTATTTTCTATTGTTATTAAACATTAAATAGATTAATTATTTGATTGAGTTTTGTGTTTGAATTGACCATGATGAATTGGATAATTCAATTAAGTTTAACAAGAGGTCACTGCCCTCAGCCGTTTAACTATTTAAGTGTCTCCCCATTAGACAATCAATTCACTCCGAAAATCTTAAACGGCAATGAAGGTAGTAATTCTCTCCTACTCACACTCTCTGACGACACTCTCTTCAATCTTTTTCAATTTTGTAAGGTACACCTTTTTAATTATTCTTGATTATTGTTTGATTAAATAATATGCTATGATTTGTATCTATCCGATTATTTCAAAATCTATCACTATCACCACGCATCCACGCGTAGCTTAATTATCCGCCTAGCAAAATTTTCACATATATTATACTTTCTAAAATATTTTTCACTCACAAGACACTATTGCAACTTTAGTAAAAGACTAAAAAAAATGAGAAGAGATAAAAAAAAAAAATTGAATTCTAGTGTATTTGAAATGAGAAGAATCCTCCTTTACATAGAAAAAAATAGCTCAAAAAAAAAAATTCAAAAAATTTTTAATGCTCATAATCGACTATGTGTTAGGTGTCTAATCAATTATGTAGACCAAATATAGATGGTTTTCAAAATTCTCTGCCACTAATCCATTAGAAGCTTTCACTACTACTAATAACACAAGTCATATCGAACGTGAAATGAATTTCACATCGGTTACAATGCCGAAATAACGATGGGTGACATAGAAAGTGAGATCTTTACCCCTCGATATATAAATAATCGAGGATTAGTTTAGATGGTCATGGATTCGAACCACAATAATAGTTTTTTTTATATTTTTCAAACTAACACCATATAACTCTCAGTTTAATAACAAAATCAAGGGGAATGATATATATATATATATATATATATATATATATATATATATATATATATATATATATATATATATATATATATATATATATATATATATATATATATATATATATATATATATATATATATATATATATATATATATATACTCATTACATTGTTTATACATAATATTATATTATTTATCCAAAATATTAAAGTAAAAATGTTGTTCTTCATCATCATCGGTGTTAGTGAAGAACAAATGTTGAGGATCCTCGTTTCATTGATCTTGAGGAAGATTAAATGTTGAATGCGATATATTCTCTATGGCTTTTGCATTCATTTGTTTCTGATGTAAAAAAAAAAGATAAATAAAATAAATATTCAATTATATGATTATTTAAGAACACAAATCTTGAACTCAAATAATTTTCTGCTTTTACAATCTATCACATTGATACTTTTACTTTGTAAAATCTCATGGCACTCTAATTAAACATAGAGGGTTTCACAACAACCTTTGGGTTTCTTGTGAATTTCGTACTATGAAATTTAAATATTCATAATGCTTTTATAATGAGGATTTTTGGTTTCATGAGGATCACTATGGCGGTGTCCTGAGCGCTGTTACTTATTAAATGAACGACAAATATTTGTTTAACGACGTTGAAGAACTGAAGAAACACGCTTATATTTTACCTCGTTTATTACTCAAAATTGAGGTAAAATATGTTTCTTTTTAAATAAAAAACAATAAAATATGTTCCATCCAAAGTCATATACCTCTTGGTTTCTATTAAAAACTGAGGAGACAATTTTTTTAAAAATATATTTATATTATTTACACAGAGTATTATAATAAGTTGTTTAAACAAATCAAGAGTTTGACAATGGATTTTTTGAGAACAACTTATCTTTTTCAGATTTCTGAGAAGTTACCTGTTCCAATAAAGAGAAATTTTTTTTCTGTACTTACAATCCATCACAGAGAGATTTCATTATCTTGAACAAATATTTTCATGACAAATGCTTTCATTAAATAAAGATAGCAATTGTTGCTTACGTGGTGTCTAAATAACAAATTTTATTTTCTTAATCGATCTTTTGCGTGTGATGATTATCATAATTTAAATTTTCTTAAACTGATTGTCAGAATGAAAGGGGAAGAAAATAAAAAATAGACTTCAGTCTAAAGCGTAGCTAGAAAGGTGACCAGAGTAGAAAACTTTTGATTGTAACTGTTTTATGGTTTTGTGTTCTAGTAATGCTTTTAGTATTAGCACAAAATATTAATAAGACTATTATATAGATATACTGATGATCACATATCATAGATCATGGATAAGAAGCTATCAAGTCTTAACATAGGTATGAATATTATGAGTGATATTTATACTAGATTGTCCTGCTATGAGAGTACTGCATAAAATGTTATGCAAAGTGTTTAAAGTTACTCTCATGGTGATAGTGGTGTATACCACCCTTCGACTTGAAACCACTATGAACCCTAGATGTAGAGTCAAGTACTTTATTGTTGATCAAACATTGTCCGTAACTGGATGACCATAAAGACACTTGATGGGTATTCCAGAAAGCATACTAAGGGACATGAGTGACCTAGATGAAATTTTCTCATCCTGTGTAACAAGATAAATGTGTAAGGGTCCAACATTGAAGTGGAAAAGAATGACATGTTATATGCTTTGTGTTCAATGTAAACATAAGGGTAAAAGGGTAATCGTACACACAAGCATTATAACAAAAGGTTTTATCAGATCACGTAACATTTCTGTGACTTGGGTAGCAGTAATGTGTTGCTAGATACCACTCACTATTTATTATGTTAAATGTGTGATTTAATATATTTTCCAACGTCGCGAAAACGTACAAGGTCACACACATAAGGACAGATTGAAAAGAGGTAGAGTAAATAAGAAACACCATAAGGTACAGTGCACTTAAGTAAATGTAAAACACCGTAAGGTACGATGCACTTAAGTAAATGTAAAACGCCGTAAGGTACGATGCACTTAAGTAGAATGCGGAATGTGGTAAGGTATCACGCGCTTAACTGATATACAGTACTCCATGAGATATGGTGTGCATGCACTTAAGTGGATTTTTTAGCTTGCGGTCTAACCATATTTTCCTTCTCTCTCTCACTTAAAGCCTTCAGTCGTAGCAGTTAGCACTGAGACTGGATGAATTTGTTCGTACGGACTGAGTAGATGCGTTGTTTATCATTGTATGCTCGTGGTCATTCCTTCAATTCAGCATCAAAGGTTATATCACCGTAAGAGATAACCGTTTCTGTCACTGATCATGCCCATTCGTAAAGATCACTAAAGGGAAAATTTTAATTTCCGCTGCGGTTTGGATTGCGATTTCCCTTCAAATTCAGGATATATTTTTCACAATAATTTATAAGAAAAATGATTAATTGCGTTTAGACCTTCCTCAATCTCAGATTATTTGATCACTACTGTAACGTTCACTGCTCGAATATTCGTCTTCCTTCTAAAACACACTTAACACATCAAACCTATCTTTTCTCACCCTTGCGCAATTGAAACAAATAAAACCTAAATACTCGCCCCGTGCGATCAAACATCTTTTTGCAAAAAAACATTGTTTAGTCCATTCTATTGCGAACACAAACTAGCGCTTAAGTCTCCACCGCGAGCAAACAAGCCATTGTTTAACCGTTAGAATGTGATCTAAACATTTTTCAATAAAACAAACCAACAAATCATAGCCTTCCCAAGAACTACGTAGTTTTGAGTTCTTCATCGCACCTGGAGATACGTAGGAGCGAGATTCACGTCTCGTCAATGTCGTAACCCGAAATTTGACCTCCTTTTTCCCTTTTGCATAAGCATGTGCGTTTGCATAGCTGACATACGCATTAGCATTTTTTTCTATGTGATTTCTGTTGCAGGAACATTCAAGTTTTGCAAGCCCAACTAACCACATCCTCTCAAAGATATCATATTATCAAAACAAGCACAAAATGAAGGTTTATATTCCTATTCATCAGATCAAAAGGTCGAAAATCAAAACTGCGGCCACAACACCATTTTTCAAGCAAATATGCAAAAAATTTCTGAAGTAATCGGTTACCCAGTTTCTAGGCAAAATAGAGTAACCGATTACTCTGTGTAAAAATGCAGATTTTGCTGCATTTTTGTGACAGCCACTTTTCTCTCTACATTTTGGGGGTCCATTTGGTTCTAGCACTGTGAGGAAAATTCTAGACATTTCTAGATAATTCAAGACCTTTCAAGATGCTTCAAGGCATTTGCTCCAATACATCATTTCCAATCAAGACCACCATACACCTTTGTTTTCGAGTATGGGAACCATTGGATTTTCAACTTGCATTGGGATGGTTACCGAGTAAACTACCTAACTAAATGAGTTAACCTGCAACTCAGTGAGCTAAGCCTAACTAACTCCAAGGCTAGTTCCGAGACTACATCCAAAGCTCACTCCAAGCCTAGTAACTTTGAAGCAAAACTCTATAAAAATAAGTCACCACCATTTCACAGGGGG